TTTTGATGAAGGAATTTTCTAACAGTGAAAATAGTACACTTTCTGCATTCCTTTTTTTTTTTTTTTTTGCCAGTCCTGGGGCTTGAGTGCACTGTCTCTGAGCTCCTATTGCTCAAGGCTAACACTCTACCACTTGAGCCACAGTGCCACTTCAGCTTTTTCTGTTTATGTGGAACTGAGCAATCAAACCCAGGGCTTCATGCATGCTAGGCAAGCACTCTACCACTAAGCCATGTTCCCAGCTCTCTGCATTACGTTTTTGCTTTTGTTTTTTTTTTTTGGGGGGGGGTCCGGTTGTTGGTTGTTGGGCCTGAACTCTGGGCCTGGGGCTGTCCCTCAGCTCTCCAGCTCAAGGCTAGTGCTCTACCACTTGAGCCACAGCACCACTTCTGGCTTTTTTCTTATGTGGTGCTGAGGAATCGAACCCAGGGCCTCATGCATGGAAGGCAAGAGCTCTACCACTGATCCACCTTCCCAGCCCTCTTCATTACTTTTTTTTGGGTCGGTCGTGGGGCTTGAACTCTGGGCCTGGGCGCTGTCCCTCAGCTCTTCAGCTCAAGGCAAGCGCTCTACCACTTGAGCTACAGCGCCACTTCCGGCTTTCTGGTCTCTGCATTACTTTTTAAAGGCAGAAGTGGGAATCAAACAAACTTGGCTTGGTTTATATACAGGAAGTGTAAGACAGGCTGAGAGAGACTGGAGAGGAAGACAGGAGACAGGACCAAGGACCTAATATCTTCCTTCCTGTGGTACAGGGCAGGGGGAAAGGCCTTTAAGGAAAAGCAAGGAGGGCAGAATTTCAAGATGGAAGCAGTTAGGGCTGCATCATGGCTATTGGGCTTGAGGAAAGCAGTGAACTCCTGACAATGACCACACACACACAAAAAAACTCGGGCAGGGGGTCATGGGCTAGGGACACTTCCTACATTTTTCTTTTTTTCTGGTACCAGGGTTTGAACTTAGGGCCTCATACTTTGCTTGGCTAGCATTCTACCATTTGAGACATGCCTCCAGCCCTATTTTGTGCTGGTTATTTTGGAAATAAGTCTAGCAAACTTAAGAGTTAGCTTTGAACCTCAATCCTCCAGATTCCAGCCCCTTGAATAGCTAGGATAATGGCATGAGCATGCTGCACAATGGGCAGTTATACACAAAAACCTGCTCATTAACCTTTAAAAAAGACACATATGGAAAAACCAAATTATAATTCCTATCTCAGTTTTCTTTCAAAGCTAAAGAAAAGAGCAAAGAGGTGAGCTTTGACTGCCCAGGTGTTTCAAGTGTTGGAAATGCCCACTCTACAGCAGAGGCTTCCTCCCTTGATTCAGCCATGTACGATATGAGCATACTCTCTCCTGCCTGTAGTCACAGGAGTGACTGAGCAGCACAGCTAGGTGCTCTGGCCTCTGTTCTCTTCTCTGTAAAACATCAAGGGAGGAGCTGGCAGTGCCTGAAACACAGGGTACAGAGAAAACACAAGATGTCCCCCAACTTGCTTGAAACTAGGAAGCCACATTTGGCTCACCTAAACACTGTTCCAGGCATCAGAAGTGCTCTTCAAAACAGTTTTGCAACTTCTCACTAATCAGTCCACAATGGAAAGAAAAGCAGAGGTCAGAGAGAAATGGCTGGGGTGCAGGTTTGCAGAAGTGATCCATCTGATGGGCAGCTACCTTCCAGAATTACAAACTGCTCTTTCAACAAGACTTTATGTGGCATCAAAAGAAAAGGCACTACTACAGATGTTTTCTTTAATTATTCAAGGAAGCCCGGCAACAGTGGCTCGTGCCTGCAATCCTAGCTCCTCAGGAGACTGAGACCTGAAGGATCATGGTTCAAAGCCAGCAGAGACAGAAAAATCTGACTCTGTCTCCCATTAATCAGCAAAATGCTGGACTGGAGACATGGCTGCAGTAGTAGAGCACCAGCCATGAGCAAGACTTAAGCTGAGAACGCAATGCCCTGAGTTCAAGCCCTGGAATGGGGGAAAAATTCTCAATGAAAGCATACTCATCATAGAGCTCTTTTTGTATGTCATACCCAACTTCTTCAGTTGCCCACGGGCATGATGCTCTCTCCCACCACACATCTTTCCATAGGTCTTACATGTATTTTCCTTCCCTCCTTTCCACCTGGCACCTTCTATATCCCAGTACCACTAGTGAAGCTTGAAGAAGGACACACAGGGATTCATTATAACGATCCTCCATGCTTCTGAATATGTGTATAAATCCCATAATTTCAATAGACTCTCAACACAGAAAGAAGGGGATATACCATATATCCGTTCCTATAGACTAATTCCACCTATCCAACCATGAGCTTGAACTGCAACTCCCACTAACCAACATCAAGCATCTGCCCACCATCTCTCTAACATCTCCTAAAGAGGCCCAGGTCTGAGGAGTCTGTCATCCATATTGAGGATATGTGGTCTTAGGAATGTCTACTGTAATATAGAACATGTGTACTGCCCAAACTCATCTCACTTGATCTAAAACATGAAGAAGGGAAGTCTTGCAGGAAGAGTTGGGCTATCCCACTAGCTCCCACCTAGGCCTAACAGCATAGTTATTCTCCAATTTTTCTGTGGGATCCATGTTTGGGAAAATCTACAATGGAGTTGAGTTTTAAAAGCAAAGAAATATTAGGGAGTGAAGTGGACATAATTTAGGAATTTCATACTTCAAGATGAGCCTAGCAAATCGGCTCACACTGACATTGCCCAAAGATGCTTTGTAAGAACCAGTGACCTGGGTGAAGGCAAGGCTAATAAGCCCTCAACATCATCTCCCTCCAGACCCCAGCCAGTCCCACAGCCTCGCCCCCGCCTCCCAAGGCCTGAACCTACCTACCACACAGGCCCATCACTCCCCAGTCTCAAGGTGCAGAGTAAGCTGCTCTCTCTAGCAGAGTTCAAGTACCAGAAACCTGACCAAAGCACTACACAGGATGGCTTTGCCCTCTTTCCAGGTGGTAAAATTGATAATGGCAACCAAATAGGTGCTTGGTAACATCAAGGGACTCAGGTAGTTGATGCTTCAAGGCAGATGCCCAAAACAGTGCAGTATGAATGCAAAAGCCAATCATCCTAGCTGGCCCTAGTGGCTCACGCCTGTAATCCTAGCTACACAGCAGGCTGAGATCAGAGGATCACAGTTCAAAGCCAGCCCGGGCAGAGAAGTTCCTTGTAAGACTCATCTCCAAAAAACTAAAAAACCGAAGTAGAACTGTGGCTAGCGTTGAGCAAAAGAGCTCAGGGACAGCATCCCAGGCCATGAGTTCAAGTCCCATGACCAACAACAAGAATAAGCCAATCATCCTAGTCTCTCTGGAGGCAATCATGATTTTAAGCCTCACACTAGATAACAATTTCAAATACATGTTCATCCGTGCCCGACAGTGCAGCTCTTCCCAGTATTCTCTTCTGCAAGGATGTCTGCAGACCACATCTCAGGGAACATTATTACCTCGAAAATTAATACCATCTGCATCCCTTTGTTTTAATTATAGCCTGCCTGGTTTTAAGAAAACAGTGCCTAGCTGCTCAGGAGGCTAAGATCTGAGGACTGCAGTTCAAAGCCAGCCTGGGCAGCAAAGTCCCTAAGACTCATTATCTCCAGTAAACCACCAGAAGATCGGAAGTAGTGCTGTGGCTCAAGGCTAGTGCTCTACCATTGAGCTGAAGAGCTGAGGGACAGCACCCAGGCCCAGAGTTCAAGCCCCATAACTGCCAAAAAAAGAAAACACATATGTGGTTGGATTTAAAGAAGTATATTTGCCGGCTGCCGGTGTCTCACGCCTGTAATCCTAGCTACTCAGGAGGCTAAGATCTAAGGATCACGGTTCAAAGCCAGCCCGGGCAAGGAAAGTCCACGAGACTCTTATCTCCAATAAACTACTAGAAAACCAGAAGTGGCGCTGTGGCTCAAGCGGTAGAGCACTTGCCTTGAGCTGAAGAGTGCAGGGACAGCGCCTATGCCCAGATTTCAAGCCCCATGATGGACCAAAAAAAAAAGAAAAAGAAGCACATTTGCCTATCCTATTCAGAAAGCTCATTGCAATCTACTACAATATACACTAACTGGACCTGGGTTGTCCCCATCAGTTTTATGATGTCTCTCTTACCTTCAAGTTCTGATGCTGACTTTGTAAAAAAATTTTGTCCCCAACTCTACACATGAAACAATCTGCAAGTAGCAGAGTTGGCTGTCTTACCTGGGAGTTGGGTAGGAGGGGCTGAGCCACTCACTCGTGAGGAAAAGGGGATCAAGACATACACAGGAGACACTGTCTCACCTCACTTACCGGCTCAGATCTGAAAGGGTTTTCACTTGAAAGAAGATTCTGCTGTTTTTGAAAACTGGGAAATCCTGAACCTAAGTTAGATGACCCTTCAGGGTTCCTTCCAAGTTGTAAATTATGTGGTTGTTTTTTATGCATTTAATATTCATGAAGTGGCTTACTGTGTCAAGCAGGGTAGTGACAACACTGAGTAAGACACTGACACAGGGGAGCTACTGCTGTGTTTTGGGTGTGTGTGTACACACTAATTCTGGGGCTTGAACTCAGGGCCTGGGTGCTGTCCCTGAGCTTCTTTTGCTCAAGGATTGTGCTCTACCACTTGAGTCACAGATCCACTTCCAGCCTTTTTGGTAGTTTATTGGAAATAATAGTTTCCTGGACTTTCCTGCCTTGGCTAGCTTCTAACCACAATCGTCAAATCTCACCCTCCTAAGTAGTTAGGATTACAGGTGTGAGTCACTGGTGCCAGGCTGGTTTCTGTTTTTCTAAGAGACTGAATAATAATGGAAAAATGTCTATAAGCAGTGTGACCAAAAACTCTATTTCATGTTTCCTCAAGTATTAAAAAGAAATGGCAATCTGGCCACTGCTGGCACACGCTTTTCCACGGGCACTGGCCCGATGCCCCTTCTCCTCTGCCCATTGTTTTCTACAGAAGACACAGGCAGAATGACACAGACAAAACTGATTGCACATTGGAAAGGTCAAACTGGGTTTTATTAAAATATACATAAATAACCCTCATGTACTTTTACTTCATCAGTATTAGGAAATGAAGGTGAAAAGTGATTATCCTGGTATAAAGAAATGAAGGCCAAAAGGGGGTCAAGAAAACTATGCTTCAGCCCAGACTGCCACCTCCAGCCTAGGAGAGGCGTTTAGTGTCGTGTCCACAGCTAGACAATGAGGTGGTTGGAATCTATGTTGTCTGGGGTCAACTAAAGCTCTAAACCCTTCCTGTTCTAACGAGCAGCAATGCTGAAGTTCTGGGTTAGCACAACACAGTAGCTACTAACAATGAAAACAGAATGAACACTAAACACACAAATACTTTAAGGAAGACATGAGAAATACAGAAGGTTGCTGCCTAAAAAAATGTATCAATGTTACTGTTTATTCACACTAATTAGGATATATACACAAAAAAATGTGTATCATGTCACTTCCAAAAAATTTCATGTTCCATGAGAACTATGTAAACAACGTCAAGTTTTCTATTACCTAATAAAAGAAGAAAATCACTATTCCTATATATTAGGAAAATATTTAGATCATTTGAATTTATAGTAAAACAAAGTGAAATATTATAGAGCAGTCTTTTCATGAAGTAATTTTACAGCCTAAAAGCAGTACATTTCATCCTTTCAAATGCTTTGGTATAAGAGAAATTAATATGAATCAAAAAGCACGAACTTCTACTTTGGTTCTCACATTAAGTGGAACTTCAGCAATGATGTGTAGCTCTGCTACTTCAGGTGACAAAATGAGAGCTTGTCACTTGCCGCCTCATCCCCTGGAGCTAGGAGAGCCATTACCTCCTCCATAGCCAGACTCTCAACGGGCATGAAGCGTTACAGACCACAGACCCAGCTTGGAATATGAGACCTCAGACCTACCTCATCACAAACAGAAGGACCCTGCATCAAAGCAGCTCATAACTACAATTCACATTTAGAGCACTACATACAATTTCTAAAAATCATGTTTCTATAGTTTCTCAACAAGTCCATACTGCACTAATAAAAGAAAAAGGTAAGCCCACTGACAATAGTTTTGTAAAAATAGAAACAACCATTTGCATGCTACAAGTATTTCTTCATTGATATCATATGTAACTAAACAGATCTGAGGAAGTTTTCATTGCATCATTTTTATAGTTGTATTTTTTCATCTATATTATCCAAATGTGGTACTGATTCTTTTCACTAGATTTTCGTTCTGTGCATTTTCTTTTAAATGAATCTCTACATCTGAGAATTGCATCTGAGCAACTGTTGTCACCCATCACAGGAACAGGAGCAAACAGAACAGCCTCTGAAGATCCTCTTAGCAACATAATTTAAACTGGAACTTCCTGTTAAGATAAGAAAAAAAGTCCTTTAGTAAACTTTCCAGACTCAAATCATTAACACTTCAGTGCAATTCCTTCTTAAAGACACACACAGTGAGGGCTAAGCTGCCCTGAGGAACACAGCCAGGGGGCATGAGCCCTTCCCCCAAGGGATGCAGGTACACAGTCCACCAGTAGAAAGATCTAGAACAATAATCCTCCTAACCAAGAAACTACCAGAAGCCAAGAACAAACTTTAAACTAATCTGTCAGATTAATTTGAGGCTTTTTAAAGACTAAGTCTAAAAAGCACTGAAGGGACACAGCACGCAAGTATTATTCAGGTAAACAAATATTTGCTTGAATGATCCGGGTATAATGTTTCAAATTAATTACTTTGTAGTATTCTATAGTACTAAGAATTCAAACTCTAACTAAATTTAAAGCCTATATTTTATAAGCAAGTATAAGAAGCAGTAACACTATTACAGTGAACAATCCTGCCAGGAAGTCCTGACTAAAATGTCCATATTAGGTGATGTTGAAATGCTAGGATTACAGCCAGGCACCAGAGGCTCACACCTGTAATCCTATCCACTCAGGAGGCTGAGATCTGAGGATTGCAGTTCAAAGCCAGCCCAGACAGGAAAATTTTTGTGAAACTCTTATCTCCAATTAACTACTAGAAAACTGAAAGTGGTGCTGTGGCTCAAAATGGTAGAGTACTAGCCTTGAGTGAAAAAGCTCAGAAGTCGTGCTCAAGCCCTGAGTTCAAGCCCCATGACCACCACCACAAACAACAACAAAAAATATCCTAAAATTGCTAGTTCTTGGGTTTTGTTGGTTTTGTGGGAAAAGGAAATAAGGGGAACTTAACTCATTTCAACATTAATTTGAGATAATGACCGAGACTGAGGTATATGGTGAACTTATATTGCCAGATATTAAAAGTTTCAAAACAGGACCAATGGCTCACATCTGTAGTCTAACTACTTCAGAGGCTGAGATAGGGAGGATCATAGTTTATGTTCAGCTTGGGCAGAAAAGTTCTCAAAACAGTGGCAGGACCCTGTCATCCTCACTACGTGGAAGACTGGTATTGGGAAGATGTTGGTTCCAGACAAGTCCAGGCAGATAAATCGATGAGGCTCCAACTAAATTAGGAGCAGCTTGGTGTGGTAGCATACTTGTCATCCCAGGAAGTAAAAAGTAGAAGGATCATAGTCCAGGGACATACTGGAAAGCAAGACCCTATCTCAAAAATAACTAGTGTTAAAAAGTGCTGGAGGTGTGGCCCAGTGGTAGAGCACCTCCTAAACAAACACGAGGTTGAGTTCAAAGTCCAGTAATACCCCCCCCCAAAAGCAATTAAGTCACCATAGGATGCTATCACTGCTTCTGTTCCACGAAAAGAACGATGCCCAGAGAAGGGTGTCTCTGCTGAGACAGGAAGTGGGGACTCTGACAGCTACAGCCTAGAGGAAGATTAAAAGGAAAAATCCTCCATGCAGAAGTGAGAGTGAAGCCGGAACACCGCTTCCTCCTTAAAGGGGGGAGGGGAAATACCCCGATGCCAAATGTCAACCCACAAATTCTTTGATCTGAATTCACACCACTACTAGTAGAGTCCAAAACATCTCAAGCAGCGAAACTAGGTTAAGCAGACCCAGACAGGTAATGCCCCCCAGTAGCTGGCAGGAAACAATGCATGCCCTCTCAGAATTCAACTTCCAGCCAACAGCGGAGGACAAAAGGCACCTGAGACTTAAAGAGGCTAAACCATGGAAACGGTGACTCAAAATCATTGAAATAGGATAGAGAGATAAATAATAACTCAGGTAGCCCAGAAAACAAAGTATTAGGCATATGATAAAAACATCAATAGGGCTGGGAAGGTGGCTCAGTGGCAGAGTACCTGCCTTGCATGCATGAGGCCCTGGGTTCGATTCCCCAGCACCACATAAGCAAAAAGAAAAAAAGCCAAAAGTGGCGCTGTGGCTCAAGTGGTAGAGCACTAGCCTTGAGCTGAAGAGCTGAGGGACAGTTCCCAGGCCCAGAGTTCAAGCCCCACAACCGGACCCAAAAACAAAAACAAACAAACAAAAAAAAACATCAATAATAAACAGTACTATTCATATATGTGTGGCACAGGCAAAAATGATTAACTAATTTTTAGTAAAAGAGTTAAAACCCTTAAGATGGTATACTTCTCAAGCTCAAATGAAACAGCCATGTAAGGTTTAAGATAAACAATAAACATCCAAGCAATAATTAATGAAAAGACTGGCTTTTTCTTTTGCCAGTCTTGGGGCTTGAACTCAGAGCCTGAGTGCTGTTCCTGAGCTTTGGTACCCAAGGCTAGCGCTCTACACCACAGTGTCACTTCTGGCTTTTTCTGAGTAGTTTTTGGAGATAAGAGTCTCATTGACTTTCCTGCCCAGGTGGGCTTCGAACCACAAGCCACAATCCCCAGATCTCAGCCTCCTGAGTAGCTAGGATTACAGGTGTGAGCCTTTTTAAAACAAAAAACAAACAACAAAAAAAAACATGTTCTCTACTCACCTGCCCTGGCCAAAAGCTAATGTATAAGCAAAAATAAAAGGCAAAGGTTAATATCCTTTAAAACAAAAGTACCCAACCAACCCCTCACAACTCTAGATAAATGCACAAAGGTAAAAAACGAGCAACTGATTTAAAAAAAGACATATAAGCAGGCAATTAAATACACCAAAAAGCTCAACTGTACTAGTGCTGAAAATGTAAGAAAAATGATGTAACAACTGCTACCTATACAACTGGAAAAATGTTCAAAATCAGTACTACCTACTTTTTCTGCAAGTGTGTACTTACATACTGACAGGAGATAGGGAGACTGAGCAACTCGCCTACGATGCAATTTAGCAGTAGTACAGATCAGAACTCCCTTTCAAAATATGTGATGTTTTTAGATCTGGAATTTATCTCAAGCCCTTAGAGATATATAAAAGGTATTTAAAACTGCATGTCAGAACTATATAGAACAGTAAAAATTGGAAAAATCACCTGACATCCAACTATGGGGCTGAGATTCAGAAATTTAGCACAAAGTAGAACTATAAAATAGAACACAACATAACTATTAAAATATAGCCTATTTGGACGGGTACAATGGCTCACGCCAGTAATCCTAGCTCCTCTGAAGATTATGGTTCAAAGCCAGCTTGGGCAGGAAAGTCTGTGAGACTCTTATCACCAAGTAGGATCCAAAGGAGCTGGAGGAGAGCTGTGGCTCAAGTGGTAAAGCACCAGCCTTGGGGAAAAAGGCTCAAGGGACTGGTATATCATGTTAGATACTACATATAAAATAAAAATACATATTATATATATAATAAAAATTTGCAAACACACTATATATCACATATATTAGTCTATCATGAAAGCACTGAAGATTAACCTAAATGTTTACCAGTACAGCATTATTGTAAAACCTCTAATGGGACACATTAAAATGAGGTACCTCTCATGTTTTGATATATACTCTTTTCTCTGCATGGAAGATGTCCCCCCCCCCCCCCCCCCGACGCCTTCCTGCTCACTTGAGTATTCAAATGGCCGTTTACCAGAGAGGATGCCCTTGCCCTCTCCAACACAGCAGTAATGTGCTCCCAGCCCAGATATGCTCCTACCCTACTCACTCTGGTGACCATGTGGCACGCTTCAGACCGTTGACAAAGGCAGAGACTTTGGTCCACTGATATTACCCCGGTGTCTACAGTAGTACCAGGTACTTAGTAAGGTACTCAAGCAGTACTGGATGGATGGATGCAGATGAAGCAATCTCAAGACACAAAGGTAAGAACAGGGCAATAATTTTGCTGACATTTGTCTTTTAAAAATAGAGAAATTAGGGGATGGGAAGGTAGCTCAGTGGTAGAGCGCTTGCCTTGCATGCCTGAGGCCCTGGGTTCGACTCCTCAGCACCACGTAAGCAAAAAGAAAAAAAGCTGGAAGTGGCGCTGTGGCTCAAGTGGCAGAGTGCTAGCCTTGAGCTGAAGAGCTGAAGGACAGTGCTCAGGCTGAGTTTAGGTCCCACGACCGGACCCAAAAAAAAAAAAGAGAAATTAAGCCGCGCACCCGTAGTTCAGGCCTGTAATCCTAACTACTCAGGAGGCTGAGACCTGAGGATCCAGGTTTGAAGCCAGCCTGGGCAGCGAAGTCTGTGAGACTTTTTTTTTGCCAGTCCTGGGGCTTGAACTCTGGGCCTGGGCGCTGTCCCTGAGCTCTTCAGCTCAAGGTGAACACTCTACCACTTGAGCCACACAGTACCACTTCCAGTTTCCTGGTGGTTTATTGGAGTGTCTCACAGCGATCTCCTGAGTAGCTAGGATTACAGGTGTGAGCCACCGGTGCCCAGCTTCCCTGAGCTTCTTTTGTTCAAGGCTAGCACTCTACCACTTGTGCCACAGCACCACTTCTGGCTTTTTTTCTGTTTACCTGATAGTAAGGAATCGAACCCAGGGCTTCATGCATGCTAGTCAAGTACTCCACCACTAAGTCACATTCCCAGCCACCTATGAGACTCTTATCTCCAATAAACCACCAGAAAACCAGAAGTGGCGCTGTAGCTCAAGTAGTAGAGCACTTGCCTTGAGCTGAATAGCTCATGAACATCACCCAGACCCAGAGTTCAAGCCCCATGACCAACAAAAAAATAAATAAAAAATAAAGATAAAAAAAATTACAGGTGTGTGCAGGCACACAGATGTCTGGAAAGATACATAAAAATTGGAACTGATTATCTTTGGTCAGGGGAGCTGAGGAAGAAATACAGGAGAGTGATCCTTTACTTGCCCCCCCCTTTTTTTTTTAATAGTCCGGTCGTGGGGCCTGAACTCTGGGCTTGGGTGCTGTTCCTCAACTCTTCAGCTCAAGGCTAGCACACTACCACTTGAGCCACAGCACCACTTCCGGCTTTTTTTTTTCTGCGTCTGTGGTGCTGAGGAATTGAACCCAGGGCCTCTGGCATGCAAGGCAAGCGCTCTACCACTGAGCCACCTTCCTAGCCCTACTTGCCCCTTTAAAAAAACAGACTTAGGCCAGGTGCTGGTGGTTTAGGCTTGTAATCCTGGCTATATAGGAAACAGCCAGGGTTAAGCATGTGCCCCCTCCTCCCCTCCCCCCCACACCCCCAGCAATCTTCCCTGGCTGAGAACTCAAGTCCTCAATTTTCTTTCACCTTGCTGGCTCTGCCTACACACTCCTTCTAGATGATTTCACCTATTTGTGACTTGAAATGATGAGCACATTCTGATGACTCTAAAGTTATCTTTAGCTCCAAGCTTTCTTCTGAGCTTCAAAGCATCATCATCAACTACTGACCGGACAAGCCAAAACTGATAGTCCATCCTTCCCACCCTCTAAACACCTGCTCCCTCCAAAGCTTCACCAGGAAAAGGTACCACCATCCACCTAGTCGCTCACAAAATGCCGTAGGAGTCATCCTTAACCCTTTATTCCCTTACACACCACTGTGAATTCACCAGTTAGGATCAGCTCTTCCTTCTTCTCTCACCCTATCACTTCACCACCCTGGTCTAAGTCACTTGTGTACTGCCTTCCCTGCCCCACTCCTGTCTACTCCTTACCCAGCAACCAAGCAAGCTTGCTAAAGCACAGAACCAAAGCATGTCACTCCACACCTCTTGCTTTGACACGAGACCCACATTCCTCATACTCAGATCTCTGTCACCTATCTGAACTTCTTTTACTTTCTCCACGGAATCTGTTAATATCTGAAATTCAGTTGTGCCCTAAAATACAACTTATCCTGCCAATCTCCTAGTACAAGGTAAAGTTCTTTCTTTTAGCTGGTCCTGAAGCTTCAACTCAGGCCCTCGGTGCTGTCCCTGAGCTTCTTTTGCTCAAGGCTAGTGCTCTACCAGTTGAACCACAGCTCTACTTCCAGCTTTTTCTGTGGCTAACTGGAGATAAAGAGTCTCATGGACTTTCCTGCCCAGGCTGATTTCAAACAATGATTCTCAGATCTCAGCCTCCTGAGTAGCTAGAATTACAGGTATGAGCCTTAGCACCCAGCAAAAGGCAAATTTCTTAAAGGTAAAGATATCATCTGGTTTGTTACTCATCTTTAGCAAGAAAACTGGTGCTTGCAGTACTCAATGAATATTTGTCAAGCAACTAAATAGCTATTTTATAACTGAAAATCTGGACTGTAATGGGTTTTGAAATTACATTCAATTTATTTTAATATTATGATACTAGAAATTGCAAGAACAATAAAATGGTACAGTTTATGAAGTGTTTTTTGAAACCAAGCTATCCTGTTAGCTAAAATTTCCTAATAGTCAGCATTAAAAACACTGAAAATTATCTAAATTTTCATTAACTGATTCAATAGAGGGGAATGTAGGCATACAATGGGTTACAGTCATTGAATACAATGACAAAAACCCAGACATGCTAATTAATGTACAATATCATGCAAGCTGTCTAGATGACTGAAAATATCCAAATGGTAAAACAGTATATTAAATGAGATCCTTTTGTTTTAAAGTGCATGAATAGGTGCTTGAATATGCACAAAATTTTTCTCTGAGGTAATCAGACTGAAAGTAGTAGCTATCTTTCTAAAATGAAAAGGCAGGTTATGTCGGGAATCTTCCTATTTATCAAAACCAAAATATTGGCAGGGTAGCAGAGGTTTGTGCCTATAATCCTAGCAAGAGGTTGAGATCTGAGATCTGAAAACGAAGATTCAGAGTCAGCCCTGGCAGACAGATCTATGAGACTCTTATCTCCAAATAACCAGCAAAAAGGCAAAAGTAAAGTTGTGGCTCAAGTGGCAGAATGCTAGCCTTGAGTGCAAAAGCCCATTGAGAGCCAGAGGCGCAGAGTCAAAGCCCTCATACAGCAAGAGAAATGCGATACTCTGCATTTCATTCTTTCACAGGCTTTAAGACTGCTTATCGGAAACATGTTGCCTATTTTTCAAGTAATGCATCATCTAGTGAGGAAGAATGGGCACCCAGTGTCTCAGGAGGCCAGATAGGAGTAAGACTTCAGCTGCCTTGTAGGTTGGATCAGTCATCACAGACTCAGCCCCCATCTCTATTCTTTCCCTCTAGAAAAATTACACTTAAAAAATGTACAATCTTTACAATTGTCACACACAATGGAAGTAGGCACCTATTGAAAACACAGAGTCAGTAAGTATGATCAAAGTGAGACAAGGTTCCACTATGTGGCCTAGACTAGTCTTCGTCTCCTAGCTCTACCTCCAAGTACTGGGCCTGTAGGTGTGCACTATCACACCCAGCATGCTTCCACTTTTCTAATTAAAGGGGAAAGGTATGATGGACACTGACCTTCCCCACTAATCATGCCATGAATACAGATGAGATATCTGGAACCATGGGACATCTTGTAACCATGAGGCAGCAAGAGCCAACATTTTGGCAGAAAGATGCTGGTGGTGTCATTCAACAGAGGAACCCTTCCTGTTACAGGAGGAAAATAAATCAGTATTTGTTTAAGGGATTGTGAAGAAGGTTCTGAGACCTACCAAGAAATTCTTAACTATATTCCTGGGAATCTACTTTTTAAAAAAAATTACAAATAAAAGGACTCAAATTCTATGTAGTTGAAAGATTGGAGGACGGGGAGGATTGTTTATCTGAGATAAGATATTGCTATTTAGCCCAAGCTGGCCTCAAACTCATGATCCTCCTGTTTCAGCCTTTCAGGTTGTGGGAAAACAGGCATGTAACAGCATACCTGGCTCTGAAAAGATTATAACAAGTCAGGAATATACATTGCTTTTGTATATTGCCTTCCTTAAGTGTCTCTATTCTGAATTCCAACAAAAATAAAAAATACTTCAGAGGAAAAAAAAATAAAGAGAAAATCTTAGTCAATATCAACTCCACACGCACACACACACAAAAACTTCAGAATACAAACACTGAGAACTTATAATCAAGGATAAACTCACACCAAAAAATAGAAGTCTGATCAATGCTGAGGCTGCTCCGGACTAATGTTCATTGTCCTATAAATTTCTTTAAGTAACAAAAGGGCAGTATCTTCAGATTCCCTAGAAAAAAGAAAAATGTATTTACTTAAGAGCTCTTTAGATGAAATTAACTTCTATGCATAAAGGTGGTAAGTGCAGTTTTTGTCGTTCTATTCAACTCTATGAGAAAGCAAATGATGACAGAGCAGTATGCTCTCAGAGCGGTCCTTTCACTGTATGGATACTTATCTGCTCCAAAGATGTCATGTCTCCTTTGTAATGGGACACACGGAAGAATAGCCTTTCAAAATCCCTACCACTCCAACCATGAAAGACACCCCTACAAAAACAATATACAGGGGGCTGGGAATGTGGCTTAGTGGTAGAGTGCTTGCCTAGCATTCATGAAGCCCTAGGTTAGATTCCTCAGAACTACATAAACAGAAAAAGCCAGAAGTGGCACTGTGACTCAAGTGGCAGAGTGCTGGCCTTGAGTAAAAGAAGCTCAGGGACAGAGCCCAGGCCCTGAGTTCAAGCCCCAGGAATGGCAAAAAAAAAAAAAAAAGCAAAAACTGTACAATACCAATGGTCTCAGGTCAGAGGCAGAGTACATACTGCCACCTTGTGGTTAATACAAGTTCAATGCAAATTTGAAAGGAGAAAAATCACTGGATTCTATCACACACAGTTCAGATTAATAGTCCATGACAAATGATGAGTCAGTATAAGAATCTCACAAAGCAAACTGCTGTATGTGCTGGCACCTACAGGCCATCAATAGTCATCAAAGTGAAGAATACTTACCAATAGCATAAATGACTCTGAAGAGCGAAAAGATATTCATTAAAACTCTCTATTGGCTTTTCTTGAAGAACATAATCAATTCGGCGGCCTCCGTTTAACATTCCAACCTTTCCTAAGTAGTCTTCATCCTTGGAAAAATCTGGACTTTCAACAATCTTTTCTGCTAGAATTTAAACCATTTCAATATCAAAGTCAATCACTTAATCATTTTCCTGTGATTTTAGCTGAGTTTCTGGGCTCAATGAGAATATTGCTTGACACGCGTAGTAACTGGGGAGCTACCAGGCTTACTCCCCATTCTTCCAAAGAACAGGGGAGGCAGGGCTGGTTCTCCGAAGGAGAAGAGAGAAAGTCAACAGCTGACACAAGTTGTGAAGATAAGGGGGAAAGAGCATTGCAGAAAAAAAAAGAAATAGAATGAGAATCTGAACATCAAAAACATGGCAGAATGACCTCGTACTGCATATGAAATTTGTAAGAAGACAGTTAAACAAGAGTATCAGGATAACTTATAGGTGTGAGTCTTTACCCAAACTTCTCTCCATTCCAATCTTCTATCCTGGCTTTAAAAATCAGTAAAAAATTTTAAATTGCAGAGTGAAAATTCCATAACTATCAGGTAAAACCTTAATTAACAAACAGTGACAGAGATTTTTGAGGAAAATGCATTTGACAGTAGAGTTGATCAGAAAAGATTTTCCTTTATAAGAACTTACATTAAAGTATCATTAATATAAGTAGTATGTTCATAAAGAATATTTATACTAAAAAATGCCTTGGAAGTAAACAGAAAGCTGGATGCCAGTGGCTCACACCTATAGTCCTAGCTGCTTGGGAGGCTGAGATATAAGGTTAGGGTTCTAAGCCAGCCCAGGCAGACAATTCAAGAGATGCTTATCTCCAATAAACTAGCAAAAAGCCAGAACTATAGGTGTGGTTCAAGTATTAGAGAGCCAGCCTTGAGAAAAAAGTTAATAGAGGGCAAAAGTCCTTGAGTTCAATCCTCAGTACCAACATTTACACACATAAAAGTCAAAAGATGAATTTACCTTCAACTACTTGCTTTTCTTCTTCCTCTTTGATTTGATTGGCGACTTTCTCCAATTCTTCTTGCAACTGAGCTGAAGAAGTATGTGCGCGGGCAAATTCATTTAGCGTTTGCCAAGCACTTTTCAGAGAACTAATAAAACCCTGCTTCAAATCAGATCCCATCCGAGAGAGACTTTCTTTCAACTCTAGAGAGATTAAAATGTAATATCAAGCTAATTAGTCATTGGGTACAATTCTTCATCACAGACATTAAAAGTTAAAACTTGCCAGGTGCTGGTGGGTCAAGCCTATAATCCTAACTACTCAAGAGGCTGATATCTGAGGATTGTGGTTCAAAGCCAATCCCAGGCAGGAAAGTCCATGAGACTCTTACCTCCAATTAACTACCAGAAAACCAGAAGTGGAGTTGTGGCTCAAAAAGGTAGAGCACTAGCCTTGAGCAAAAGAGTTCAGGGACAGCACGCAGCCTGAGTTCAAGCCCCATAACAAACAAACAAACAAAAAAAGCTAAAACTCTTCTCATGCAGGTGAGAATCGCTTCTTCCTTCCTTAAATGTCAAATATATGTAGTTACCTTGGAGCCCTAAACCCTCAACATGGTAAAATGTCATGAGATGTTTTTTGTCTTTTTTAAAGAACTAAACTTCATTCAGCCCCTCTCTCTCAAAAAAAAAGTTCAAGCCACGCCAACTACTGGTGGCTCATGCTTTATAATCCTAGCTACTCAGCTTGGGGAGGAAAGTCCATGAGAGACTCTTATGATCTCCAATAAAACACTCAGAAAAAAGTGGAAGAAGTGGCATTGTGGCTCAAGTGGTAGAAAGTTAACCTTGAGCAAAAAAAGTTCAAGTAAAACATCTAGGCCCTCAGATCAAACCCCAAGCCCAAGGAGAGAAATAGTTCAAGCCAGGTGCCAGAGGCTACTTAAGAGGTTGAGATCTGAGGAGCAAGGCTCAAAGCCAGCCAGGACAGACAAAAATCAAGAAATCCTAGTTTCCAATTAATTATCAAAAGGCCAGAAACAGACAAGTAGAAGTGTGGTTCAAATGGTAAAGCTGTGAGCAAAAAAGCTGAGTAAGACTCCAAGCCCTATTACTGGTACAAAAAAAGTTCATATACCATTAAAAAAAGCCTATTTGTATGGCTTTTTGTTGTGGGGTTTTTTTGTGGGGGCTAGTCCTGGGGCTTGAACTCAGGGCCTAGCCACTGTCCCTAAGCTGCTTTTGCTCATAACTAGCACTCTACCACTTGAGCAACAGCACCATTTCTGGCTTTTTCTGTTTATGTGGTATTGAGGAATCAAACCCAAGGCATCATGCATGGTAGGCAAGCACTCTATCACTAAGCCACATTCCTAGCCCAATGGCTTTTTTTAAAAATCCAAATTAAAAAAAAAAATAGGTCTATGAGAGTGAAAAAAAAAATCACCACTTTTCTAATCAACAATAGTGTGATAGTTTAAGAAAATTATTTTTTTCTGTAACTACAACTTTTAAATTAAAAATATCACAGTGCCTTCACTATTTTCTGTAATATTCTAATAATCATATTTTAGTTGAAGGACCGTAAGTAACATATTTCTCATTTTAACTTTCCAAAAGCTAAATATACTACTAGCAAGCAAACAAAAACATACTTTCTCAGAGCACAGAATCAGTGGAAAGTAGGTGAAAACATACAGCAGAGGGCTGGATGCTGGTGGCTCACGCCTGTAATCCTAGCTACTAAGGAGGCTGAGAGCTGAGGATCATGGTTCAAAGCCAGCCTGGGCAGGAAAGTCTATGAGGCTCTTACCTCCAATAAACCACCAGAATATTGGAAGTGGTGCTGTGGCTCAAGTGGTAGAGCGCTCGCCTTGAGCTGAAGAGCTCAGGGACAGTGTCCCACAACTGACCAAAAAAAAAAAAAAAATCCAGCAGAGGGCCCATCAGCTGTACTGGACACTGATGAAAGTGAACTAAGCAACTCAAGGGTAGTGATGGGAAGGAGGGAATAAGAAAGAAAGAGGGAACAGCTAGCAAATGTACATATCACCCAATTTGTAAGAATAGTTTTATAGTTAAAGGTCATACCATTCATAAGCTATGTAGATTAAGATACTGATAACTATCATTGTAAAGATTAAAAGGTGTTTGTGACTTTAGTTAAGTATGCCATTATGACATTTATATAGTCGCCTAATCCCAATAAATAAATACTTGAAAAAAATATATATATATACTTTTTTTGTGTGCTGGTCCTGGAGCTTGGACTCAGCGCCTAGGCACTGTCATTAAGCCACTTGAACCACAGCATTACTTCTAGCTTTTTTGGTAATTTAGTGGAAATAAAGAGTCTCACAGACTTTCCTGCCTGGGTTGGCTTCAAACTGCAATCCTCAGATCTCATCCTCCTGAGTAGCTAGGATTACAGGTGTAAGCCATGGGTGCCAGGCCAAAAACATATTTAAACAGAGAACCTAGTCATTTCCCCCTCTATTCTCCTTACTCCTGCTCCTTCCACTCAACTTTTTAAGTTTAGGCCTACTTACATCCCAGCCTCACTTAATGAATTGTTTAATCGGAAAAGTTTGTCTAGTTAGCAAGAAAACAACAACTCACTTGACTTAGGCAGTATCGATTATTTCTTGATGGACTGGTCATTAATTTAAATGTACTCTTCTTCCCTAATCCCAAAAATTCCAACAGAACTATCAAAATCTAATTACAAATCTTATCATCTTATTATCAACTCCACTCCCCCCATTCCTTATCTCAACAATGACAGTGCCATCAAAGAGCAGGCATTCATTCAGAATTCTTCACAGCTCCTCCACTTTCTCAGTTGAGAAGTTCTCACTTACTACTGAAGCAGTGTCTTCACTATTACTGTCAGAAGAAATTTAGTGTTAAATGTGTGTGTACGCGCGCATGTGCATGCACACACATGCTGGTCTGAGGGCTTGAACTCAAGCCTGAGCCTTTTCTGTTTTGTTTTGTTTTGCAGAAGACTAGTGCTCTATCACTTGAGCCACCATTCCACCATTCAGTGGTTAACTGAAGATAATAAACTTTCCTGTCTGAAAGGTTTTGAACCACAATCCTTCCTTAGATTTCAGGCTCCTGAAAAGCTAGGATTATAGGTATGAGCCACCAGAACCCAGCTAGTGTAAAACTTTCAAATTCATTACAATTACAATGTGATGGAAAGAAAGGAAGTTTTTACAATATTTGTCTCTTACCTAAATGAAGTCTTTTTCTGCCTTTGTGATGTGGAATGAGAACTGCTTTTGTGTCTAAATCTGGAACAATCATAGGCTCTAATCTATATGCCACTGGATCAAGCTGTAAAGAGGAAAATTGGAAATGTGTGAAAATTTTTCTTTTGAGCTGTATGCCTTAGCTAGGTAGGAAAACGGCCAACAGCCAAACAGAGACTCCATTTTTATACTTTGTTCAAATACTGCAACTGTAAGATTTTCAAGTTTGTAGGTAAAATTACCTTGCAAATGAGATAATATTACTTCTATTTATTTGTTTATTTTTGTGGGTTGTGGGGCTTGAACTCAGGGCCTGGGCAATGACCTTGAACTTTTTTTGCTCAAGGCTAGTGCTCTACCACTTTGAGAGACAGCTCAAAACCACCAGTTTTCTGGTGGTTAATTGGAGATAAGAATCTCACAGACTTTTCTGTCCAGGACTGGTTTCGAATCATGATCCTCAGATCTCAGCCACCTAGTAGCTAGGATGATAAACGTGAGCCACTAGCACCCGGCCCAATATTACTTTTCTTTGAATAGACTTTCTGGCAGAAAAGTTTACTGTAAAGTATCAGACTAACTCTTCCAGGATAGAGAGCTGAAACTTGCAAAGTAAAGATCAACAATGGTTTCCAAGAAATAAAAATCTGAGAATCTGTTAAGATGAAGAGGACAGGCTCTTCACATTCTTGAAAATAGAAAGCAAATTCAAGTTACTCACTGGATGATAAATATTGAAGAATCCTTTACAAGTTGGAAGCCTGTAGTTCTCAGCTATCCTGTCCACTCCTCGGATAGTGAGAAACATAGCAATTGGAGATCCCAAGGCAAAGAAAATTTCTGGTTCAAAGTCTAGTGAATTGTAAGAAACAGAAACCTAGGAAGAATCAAAGAGCAATAAAAGGTAATCATTCCACTGTAACATATACAAAATGGAACTATATTTACTTAAAAGAAACAATACAGATGATGTCTTAAAGGATAACTTTTGCTAGCTTACAATAATTTCACTTTTGAATCTTTTTTTTTTTTTTTGGTCGGTCATGGGGCTTGAACTCTGGGCTTGGATGCTGTCCCTATGCTCTTCAGCTCAAGATGAGTGCTCTACCACTTGAGCCACAGAGCCACTTCCGGTTTTCTAATGGTTTATTGGAGATAAGAGTCTCACAGACTTTTCTGCCTGGGCTGGCTTTCAACCAGGATCCTTAGATCTCAGCCTCCTGAGTAGCTAGGATTACAGGCGTGAGCCACCAGTGTACCCCGCTTCACTTTTAAATCTTATTGGCTATTACATCCTCTGGCTATATATCTTTTTATTTACTCTCTAGGATAATAAATGTATATTATTTCTGTTGCAGAATCTGCAGAATCTGCAGTCATCCTGCCTGTGTTTGAATCTACTACTCACTCACTGTGTGATCTTGGACAAATTTCTTAACCTCTCTTACCTCTGCTTCAGTTTCTACATCTATAAAACATGGTCAAATAAAAACACAAAGCCCTGAGTTCAAGCCCCAATACCAGCATAATAAAAACAGCATGGTTATAATATCAAAGTCAGTGTAAGGGAAAGGTCACTAAATGAGGCCACATATAATTTGATGGCTGACCCTAAACATTCCATGGCATTATTTCCAACTGAATCTCTAGTTAAGACAAATTTCCTTCTGTGAGAAAAATGATTTGTCCCAAAAGAGCCTATTTTAGATATTTGCATTTAATTACTGAACAAAAGGGATCAACACCTACATAACAGCACTCATAGTTTCTAAGTCTCTTTCAGGGTTATCACAGCAACACAGGAAAGCATGTGTCATTTTAGTATCTAAGAAAGAAAACCAATAACTGGTATAATCTAAGGGCATTACAAAGGTCCACTGAGAGAGGAAGGTAAGTAAGGCAAAACTCACCAAGCCTACTTCGGAGATAAAGACAGTAAAGACGATGACACAGTCAAGTCAGTGGCAGAATGAGGACTCTGACCTACAACATCCACTTCTAAACCCAGTGCTCCTAACTTACCCCATCAGGCTGCCTTCCTAACAGGCTGTACTTCACACTGCTAGGCCTGACTTATCTTTGCAAAATAAAAAAATGGGTATTTTCAGGTCATGGTTCAAGTGACAGAGTACCAGACATGAGCAAATGAGTACCAGACATGAACAAATGAGCCAAACGGGACCTTGAGGACCTGAGTCTTAGCCCTGGAACCAGCAGAGAGAGAGGAGAGACAGAGAGACAGAGAAGGGGGAAGGGAAGAGAGAGAGAGATTTAAATACAATCTTTAAAAGCACAAGCAGTTTGTCTGGATCGGATGTCAAGTTCCAAGTTGTGCTTTCCAGACTGCCTCATGATATGTCAGATGTTCTATTACTGTCTTAATTTTTTCCTACCAGTCATAATTTAATTATCATTAGTCTTATAATCAGTAACAAAAGAAGGGGCCATAGTTGAGACAATTATGTTCAGAATATACATGTCTCTTATTTTGAACATTATAAAAGCAGCATAGAGAAAAACCAACTTTCTCCATATAACCCAATACACATTATATAAGAATACAAAGCCACCATGTACTAAATGCTTCTGACATCAAATATGTAACCCTATTGATGCATAAACTTACCTGTCCTGTGCCAACTTCAAAAGACTCATAATCAACACGCACAGAAGACACATAAGCACCGACTGGAAGTTTCTTCTTTGACTCGTTCGACTCTGAAGGCAGAGAAGCCAGTTCTTTGGCTTTCTGAGCACTCTCATCTTGTCCTTTTGTCAAAGTGGCCATCACTGCCTTCTTCTCCAATGCTGCTTTTTTCTGTTCCTAAGAAACACCAAAATCTCCTAAGATTATCTTTAGGAAAGTTCAGTTCTTGGTGATCACTAAAACACATACTACCTTGCTATTAAGGAACAACTAGTGGTGTAGGAGTAACGACAACACTGGATTACTTGGAAAATGTCCTTTTCAGAGATTCACAGTGAGTATTTAAGAAGAAATGTCATGTTATCCATTATTTACTTAAACTTAAGGTAAAAAAAGACTATTAAAAGAAAAAATATAGCAAAATATAAGTATTGGCTATCTTAGGTGAATCTCAAAAGTATTTTAAGAAAGCAGATACAAAACAGTACATACTGTTGAGTCTACTTCTATGAATTTCTAGGACAGGCAAACCATTCCATAATGATAGAAATCAGAACAGGATTCATAGAGAGGGAGGAAATAGCTGGTAAGAAGCATGAGGAGCTACCTGTGGGACAAAAATGTTGTTTCTTGATTTAGATGGTTACATACAACTGTCAAAACTTATTGCCCAGAACACTTAAGATCTCTGCATTTCCATAAACAAATAAGAGCTATGGGCAAACACATAAGAGGAGACATGGATAATAAGCCAAAGCCATTGCTGGTGGTTTATGGTTACACCCTGAACTCCACAGTGTCAGAGGAATGAGAACACTTGCCATAGCTGACTTGTCTTCTCTGCAGGTCTCAGGAACCTTTGTTTCCTAAGCTGTAAAGGGGTATGTGCTCATTTTCATTTCAATAGCTATAAACAACAGCTAAATAAAACAGTTTTGGCTAACTCTGGCCCCATTTTTCAGCAACAGTAAATCAGCAGGACACACCATCTAGCAGCACCATGTTATCTATGGACCACACAGGGCAATGGATGTGATTTGGCTAATAAGGTTTCATGGTCTTCCAAAGCCAAATACTTTTGGATTAAAAATATATATGATCATGCCAAAAATTTAATCATCAAAACATCTTTTAAAAATCAAAATATTCTCATAATGCAATAATTTATATATCCAAGCAATTACAGTCTATAAAAATAAGCTCCTTCTATAAATTTTTCAAGAACTACAGAATCCTTTTCTACTTTCTACCTCTGTTACAGAATAAGGCTCAGTGCCAGTGGCTCATGCCTATAATCCTAGCTACTCAAGAGGCTGAGATCTGAGGATTGAGGGTCAAAGCTAGCCTGAACAGGAAAGTCCTTGAGACTCATCTCTAAGTAACTACCAAGAAGTTGAAAGTGAAGCTGTGGCTCAAGTAGTAAACCACTAGCTTTGAGCAAAAATAGCTCAGGGACAGTGCCAGGCCCTGAATTCAAGCCCCAGGATTGGCACCCAAAAAAAAAGATTAAGGACATGATTCAGGGCCTAAAGACACAGCTGCTGCTCCTTATTTCTGTCTTGCTTTACAAGCCTGTACCTTCCTAGGGTGTGTGTGGAACACCACACCTGCCTACGGGAGCACTACCAGTACTCATAACCCAGTTATCACCATGCTCATCAGAGGGCTGGAGAACTTGAGTGTGATGAAGAATTGTTTGTGAATTGCCAACGAACAATGATTCAATTTTAAACAGGAAAAATTAGATGAAAAACACCTGTAACCTGCCATGCTAATAACCTTTCTCTACATTTAATCAAATATAGTTGGCTCTACAATGTCTTGTATTTGCTCTTTTCCTTTCCATCTTTGAGTGTACAACCTGTCATCTCTCTCTGTCTTGGTATAATACCACGGGGCTGGCATGAGCTGCTAGCTCCGTCCTCTTCCAGCGCCATCACACACTGCCACGGTGTGAACTCCGTGTGAACTCTGTGTGAGCACAGGCTTTCCAGCAGCTCCTGACAGACACTGATGAGAGAGGACAGGGGCCTCACGGCTGCTAAAGTGAAAACATGCCTCAAGTCACAGAACAAAAGGCCCAGTGGATTAAATGCATTTTCTCTCAATTTTAAATCTACAAAGCCATTTTTTTTTTGTTTTGGCCAATGTACTCTGTATCAGCTAGGAGGTTCTAGCCAACAGAATAAGATAGTAAATAATTTTTTTTAAAAGTAGAAAAGAATTAATATATTCAAAAGTTCATGCATTATGGATGTGTGTGTGTGCACACGCACATGGCATGCATATGGGTGAAATTTCAGAATGTGATTTGACATATATTTTAAATTTTAGATTCCTAAACAAATTAGAACTAAAATTTAGACTAAACAGAAAATTTCCTGCCACACAACCATGTTGACAGAATAAACAGGTTAGCATTTTATGATATTTGCTGAAAAACACAACTTTCACAGCTATAAGAATACACCTGAAAACTATTGCTGTAAAAGGGGCAATCCAACCTGCCTTCAGAACCCTCATTCCTTCCCCATGACCAGTGCACCTGATGCTCCAAGTACAGGAAACACGTGCCTGCTCCTAGCCAGCCACTGCCCTTGATGAAGCTACAAGCTCAAGTGTAACACTTTGGCAAGTGTTCTCTCACCACCCTCAGTCCCCAGCAACAAGCCAGAACACCCCACTCCCTCATCTGGCTGACAGCACTAAATGCCTCCTGTTGTAGGTCTCGTGCCTGTCATGTGGGATTAACACACTCTCCTGAACTGGGCTGCATACTCACGGACTTTCTCTAAATCCCATGAACTAAGCCCAAGACCTGACCTAGAAAGAGATGTTCCATTAAATGCTGACTGACTCAATTCCTTAGGCCAATCATGAAAAATCAGATGACAGTCGCATCCATATTAAAAAGTGGCATGTTAATGTCCAAAAAAAAAAAAATAGAACAAATAATAGAACCAAAGAAGTTCAAAAGACATAGCCTAGTGGGGAAGCATTTGCCCAGTATGCACAAGACTGAGTTAAAGGTGGGAGGGAAGGGATGGTAGGGGAAAACAAAGGAGGAGGCAACAATGCTGGATAAGAAATGTACTCATTACCTTGCTCATGTAAATGTAACCCCTCTGTACAGTATCACAATAAAAATTTAAAACAAATACACTGGACTTTGGTAGTATGCTCCTATAATCTCAGTTATTCAAAAGACATACAGAAGAGGATGGTCTTAGCCAAGATCCTATCTGAAAAATACTCTAAAGCAAAAAGGGCTGAGGACATAGTCTTCAGTGGCAAATTTCATGCCTACAGTACAGATCCTGAGTTCAAACATAGTACCACAAAAAAACAAATACATAAAAATTTAAAGAAGTTCATAACAGTAAAAATAAGATGCCCTGGAAGTGGTGCTGTAGCTCAAGTGGTAGAGCGCTCGCCTTGAGCTGAAGAGCTGAGGGACAGCGCCCAGGCCCAGAGTTCAAGCCCCACGGCCAACCAAAAAAAAAAAAAAAATAAGATGCCCTCAGTATCAAAAAATAAGACATCTTTGTTATTTAACTTTTCTAATTAATCAGGAAATCTCTACAGAATCTGATATTAAATTCAAATTAAGTGAAGTAAGTTTTTCTGAGATTATTTTTATAGCTTGTCACTATTGCTTTGTTCTGCTATTTGGCTATCATTTAAGAAGCGTGCAGGGCACAATTCCTTATCTCTACGTGGCGAGGAGTGCTGCACACAAGGTTTCACCAGCTATCTCCTGCTCATGCCACCTATGAGGAAGAAACTGTCGTTCACATTTTAGAAATGAAGGAAACCAAGCATCACAGAAATTAAGCCAATTAGGCACGAATGTGTACTTGTGCCAAGAGTGAGGACACTGGACTCATCTATCTGCCTATAACCACAAATAACCATCTAAAAAAGTTTAAAATCCTAAGTTGGGCATGGTGGCTCATGCCTGTAATCCTAGCTACTCCGGAGGCTGAGATCTGAGCCAGTCTGGGCAGAAAAGGCCGTGAGACTCTTATCTCCAATAAACCACTCAGAAAACTAAGTGGTACTGTGGCTCAAGTGGTGGAGTACTTGCCTTGAGCTGAAGAGCTGAGGGACAGTGCCCAGGCCCAGAGTTCAAGCCCCACAACCAACAAAAAAATAAAAAATTAAATTAAAAAAAAAAAAGTTGAAAGTCCTTTGTTCTGGAAACTCCCTCTATTTTGGGAGTTATTTAGCTTGACATGGATTTAAACCCAGTTCTGAGAACTCTATTAGCTCTGTTACTGTGTACTAGCTTATCCAACCATAGGAAACTATAAATTTCTAAAATAAAAACCAACAGGTCAAAAGATAAGTATTATCTTGAAGGCAGAGAGAGACTTTACCAGTTTGGCTGCTTTACGTTTTACAAAATTAGCTATCTTCTTCCTGGGTCCAAGAGGTATCCCCATTTCCTTCAGGTCATCAACTGTACACATGAGCTTTAAAAAGAAACACACCCATCAATCAATCTGGAAATCAATAAAATTGCAATACAATACAAAATTATTTTTTAAAAAAGAGCTCAGTAGGGGAGAGACTGATCAAGATACATCGTATATGCATAAAATTACATGTTGAACTGAAAAAAATAATAGCGATAAGAATCAGTCACTTCTTTAAAGTTAGGTTTGAGGTTTGTTTTTAACAATAAATTTAAGCCTTAAAATACAAGGCCTCTCCAACCTAAACATTCTATTATTTTTTTAATTAAAAAAATGTAACTCCAAAATCTCAAGCATATAATAGTTTCCCCCTTCCATTTTGTCCCAATCACCCAATTCTCTGTGAAACAACTGTTGGCAATTTGTACTCTTTGCCAGAGGTAAGTCATGCACATGTGTATAGGTATGTGTGTGTGTGTATCTCCTCTGTACACACAGAACTCAACTCCTCTCTTTCACCAGAATCTCCATTGTTGCCTCATCTGTTCACAGGCACAGGTCCTCTGCTGTGTAACCACACAGAAATGATTTAACCAGGCCTACCAACGAATGCTTGACGGGGTTTCTATTGTATTCATGTATTATTAAAGTGCTCAGCAAGTGTACTGTATATACTCTTGGGACAACTTCTCTATACAAAGTATTTCTAGAAGTAAAATTGCTTTAAGAAGATGTAATTTTTACATGTTAAAAGATATCAACAGCCCAGTGCTGGTGGCTCAGGCCTATAATCCTAGCTACTCAAGAGGCTGAGACTGAGGACTGCAGTTCAAAGCCAGCCTGAGCAGGAAAGTCACATGGGAATCATCTCCAATTAAACATCCAAGAGATGGAAGTGGAAATGTAGCTCAAATACTAGCCTTAAGGAAAAAAGCTCAGGGGCAGCACCCAGGCCCTGACACACACAAACACACGCACGCACACGCACAGATACAAAGGTATCACAAAATTCCATAGAAATGGTACCAACTGCCGGGCGCTGGTGGCTCACGCCTGTAATCCTAGCTACTCAGGAGGCTGAGATCTGAGGATCGTGGTTCAAAGCCAGCCCGGGCAGGAAAGACCATGAGACTCCTATCTCCAATAAACCACCAGAAAACTGGAAGTGGCACTGTAGCTCAAGTGGTAGAGCACTCGCCTTGAGCTGAAGAGCTGAGGGACAGTGCCCAGGCCCAGAGTTCAAGCCCCACGGCCAACCAAAAAAAAAAAAAAAAAAGAAATGCTACCAATTTACATTTTCATCAATATGTGCTAGCACCTATTTTGACCTACTCAGTAAAGATAGGTCAAAGATAGATCAAAAACAAAAACCTCACTGCACTTTCAATTTGCATTTCTCTTATGACTTTATGAATGGTAAATGCCACTTAACCTTCCTCTCTATAAATAATCTTTATATGTTATTTGCCTGTTTGCCTAGTGCTTTTCCACCAGCTTCCTAGACATTCTGAGTATTAAGGAAATCAGCCCTCCTTGTGATACGTGGTATACATGTCTTCCTAATCTATCAATGGTCTGTAGATGTTGCTGATAATGTTTACTGTTAAGCAATTCTATTTCTTTCATGGCTTCTGGGTTTGTATCATACTTGAAAAAGCCTTTACACATTGTTTTGAACTGAGGGCTTTAAGCTTCTGGGCATTATTCTACCACTTAAGTCATGATCCCAGTGCTTTACACTTCAGTTATTTTTCAGACAGGGTCCTCCAGTTTTGTCCATGACCAGCTTCAGACCTCAGTCCTTCTACCTGTCTCAAGTAGCTGATGTTACAGGTGTAAACCACCACATTCAGTTTGTTGAGATGAGGGTTTCACTAAATTTTTAGCCAGATTTAGCATCACACCATCATTCCCTTATCTCTACCTTCCAAGCAGATGGGATTTCAGACAAGATAAACTGTGAACAACCCTGGGTTTGGTTTTTTTTCTTCAATTCTATTTGCTTGTTTTTTTGTTTTTTTAAGCATTTAAGTGTTTGCCTTATAGGGAATAAATTTTGACATAAGAATGTTTAAGTCTTTTTTTTTTTTTTTGGAGGGGAGGGTAGGTGGGTAAGGGGCTATACCAATCCTGGGACTTGAATTTAAGAGACTAGGCACTGTCCCTGAGCTTTTTTGCTCAAGGTTAGTATTCTACCACATGAGCCACAGCTCCCCTTCCCCTTTAGTGGTTAACTGGAGATAAGCTTTGCAAACTTTTCTGCCTAGGCTAGCTTTGAACCACAATCCTCAGATCTTAGCTTCCTGAGTTGCTAGAATTACAGGTATAAGCCAATCATGCCAGCTTTTAAATTACTCGAATTTTTTTAAATCTTATACACAGGATAATTTTAAACAAAAATGAAATCAAGTTATCATCAGTACCAGAGATTCCATATCAATCTTTTCTTTTTCAAAAGTGCTAACATATTCAAAGAGGCTAAGTGCTTCTAGAGTTTCTTGCAAAGTTAGAACTTTTTCATTTTCAACATCAAGGTCACACGATTCATCCAAAGGCGGCTTTGACTCTTCAGGCATCTTAACAAAACAAAAAAATAAGGGAGAAAGATCATTACAAAGTTAAGGAAAAAAATCCACAAAGTTTCTCTGATCTACAGAAAAAACTTAAATAATTTGTCCTGAAGACAAATCATAATTGACATCCAACATGTGAATATTTTGAAAGATATAAATCTAGTAAGTCACATACTCCAATTTCCAACAATAACTTACATTTTAAGAATCATAACTTTCATATTTACACGTATAAAGGAGAAGAATATATATAATTATATACATATATATTTCCATTAAACTTCTTTTTTGTTTTGCTTTCTCTTGGAGATGGTATCTCCTTATGCTGCCCAGGCTGATCCTTGAACTTGCAATCCTCCTACTTTAGTCTTCCAAATAGCAGGGATTACAGATGTGTACCACCAAACCCATCTCTTCAATGTACTAAGTCTCCACATATAATGATATATAAAAACAGAATTCAGAAACTAAGACAGATTTTGGAAAATGGTTTGGCTCTATCTCTAACACTGACAGGGTCATGTGCAGACACACCTGCTTTTCTTGAAAATTCAGCTGCTTCACAACTCCATTAGCAATAGTTGCAGGCCCCGGAGACTTTGAGATATTCAAATCTTTTTGATTAGATAGGATATCAAACAATATTAAAGAACCTAAGAAAAAGAAGTATTTCGTTTTATAATGTAAGTAATAGGTGTTTTTATAATACTAATAAGTTTTCCTACTATTTTTTCAAAGTCCCTAGGCAGAAACCATAAAAAATTAAGGACTGATACTCAATATTATTTTATCAAATAAGAAATTAAAATATCCAATAGAACAGAACCCATGCAATTGTAGGTATGAAGGCAGAATCTAAACTCAAAGCATTCATTTCTACCCTCTATAAAAACTTCAGATGTATAATTCTAAGTTTCATACTAACAATGTCAGGCACACTAAAAACAGTGATAATTTCACAGGTTGACAATGCACAGAAGTAAGTTTTACCTAAACTGTGACCTGCAACAGAGACTTTTCCTTTGAAGTCAGGGTTCCGACTCATGAAGAGGGCATGGAGACGATTTATCTCCATTCCCACTTTTTCCACAATTGTCTGGCAGTAGGTGGGGCTGTTATAAAATAAAATATCTAGCAAGGTTTCATTGGTAAAGTGACGAAACCGGCCAATACTTGGCAAAGTAATTTTCTTAATATTCCTGTTTAAAAAGAAAAAAAATGTTATTAGTATCTACCTTTAACCTATGGCTATTTAAAGTTTAAATTTTTGTTTCTGAAAACAGTAAAATGTATAGGATAATCAGTCTAGATGTTTTCTTTTTTATAAAACAGTTTTAGGGTTTGAACTCAGAGCCCCCTGCTTGCTAGGCAAGTCTCTACTACTGAGACACAGCCTTCAGCCCAAGATTAAGCACTCTAAATTAATCAATTCTGAGAACTTTTCTATCCAAGCTGGCTTTCAACTATGATCCTCCAGGTCTCACCCTATTTAATAGTTAAGATTACAGTTGTAAGCTACTAACACCCAGCTTTATATTTCATTTTTAAAGAAGAAAAACTATACTTCCACTTTTCTTCCAATTGGAAATCTAAATACCTGAGAAAAATTATGGTCAAAAGGAACAAAAGAGATGGTCACATGGAATAAGAAACAATTTAATGGATTGAAATCCTTTGCTGATTTGAGAATGACCTGAGTGCAGTTTGTAAACACTGATTGAGAAAGGAAACGCTTTTAAAACAGGGGTATACTTTAGAGAGAATGCTGTTTGTAGGATTAGCTATATTAAGCCTAAGACAGTATGATACTACTAAAATTGACATAAATATTAGTCTTGTGTGCAGCATAAATATTTTCTATATTTTTGGATCTGAAATGTGATTATTCAAAATTGAGTAGGGTATTATTGATCACAGTTCCTGATGAGCACTGAAAGCACTGAGAAAAAAAGTTTTAAATGGCCTGCAATGCCACTGAGTTTCATGTAACAAAGAATTGTACTTCAAAGAGCATTCTCTAGTCAAAACAATAAATCTATATCAGCAGATCTCAACTAGGAGTGGTGCTAACTCCCAGAGGACATCTGGCAATTTCTGAGACATGTTTAGTTGTCACATGGTGAAGGAGGAGCATGCTACTGCTATTCAGGCAGGAATGCTACTAAGCAACCTAAATGTCTTAATCACAAGAGATCAGAATAATATTTTAGAACCAGGTTAAAGGTTTAGTTCAGTGACAGTATATGCACTTGGTACATGTGAAGACCTGGGGTTAATTCCTAGCACACACAAGAAAGTAAAGCACACCAGTTAAAATTTTTTAATGATTTTCTTAAACTTTTTATTTTCCAGTATTGGAATTTTGAACCCAGGACCTCATGTATATTCGCTAAAAGGAGCTCTACACGTGAGCTCTCTGGCAGCCTCTCTATGCCTTGGCTGGACTATGAAATTATTAGTGCTCCCCTTTGTCACCTGGATGAAAGGCATGTGCCACACAGCACCCAGCCACTGGGCTTCCTTGTAGCTTGGGAAGACAGGCACATGCCATCACATCTGGCCATTGACTGAAATAGGGTCTGGTGAGCTTTCATACCCAGGCTGACCTTGAACCATGATCTCCTTATCTCTGCCTCCCAAAAAGCTATGATAATGACTTGAGCCACTAAGCCTGGTTTAAACATTTCAAATAAGAGAAAAATGGATACACAATGTAAGAGAAAAGTAGCACATAAATCATACAGCTACTATTTAATCATATATCAGAGCCGGTATATAATTAAAACAAATATTTCTCAAAATCATAATAAACTTACTTCATATTATGGTTTGAATTTTGCCTCTAACTGAAAAACAAATTGTGAAAGTCTACAAACCTGTCGACGCCTGTGGCATCCCCACCCAAGGCGCCGTGCCAGGGAACTGGAAGGAACTCCACTCTGCTGATCTTCCCATCATCTAAAGATCTCTTGAAATGTGTCTGCAGCAATTTCAGAGAAACTACCCTAAAATCATCCACTTAAAAAAAAATATCAAGGAAGATAAATTATTAAAGTGTCCTAGCTTGAGAACCAATTGGAGATAATCTCAAATATGCCAGCATTTTTGTTATAAAATAAAGATACGTTTTTAAATGACAGACTTTGTATAAACATAAATTATGACTTTTAGAAAACTCTTTTTAACTTTTCATCATTGTAGAAGAATAAATGCCTAGGGAAAAAAATTAGTTTTGCCAGTCACCAATAGCTCCTACCTATAACCCTAACTACTCAGGAGATCTGAGGATTGCAGTTCAAAGTCAGCCATGTGCCCTAAAGTCTGTGAGACTCATCTCCAGCTAAATACTAAAAAGTCAGAAGCAGAGTTATGGCTCAAATGGCAGAGTACCAGTCTTGAGCAAAAAAGCTTAGAGATAGCACCGAGGCCCTGAGTTTCAAGCCCCAGCACTGGCACACATATAGCAAAAAAAAAAAAAAAAAGTTTAGCATTACTGGAAGGCACCGTGGCAGAGAACTAGAAGACAACAATCAAGCTTCCTACTGGAGGATTCCAGTTCCAGTACTGACTATGATACCAGTCTCAGATCGTCTCCTGGCAGTGGGGTAACAGTGATAATACCTGTTCCCCAAAGGTGTGTTTGTGAGGGTAAATGATATAATCACAAAGTACTTAGCAAGTACTATGTATTCAGTAAATATGAACTATAATTATAGAGGCATAAAAATAAAACTGCAAAGATTTAAATCAACTAGGCATCTTTTATGGGTCCCCCTATAAATGTACTCATCCATAGTTCTTTCCATGTTGCTGGAAGTGTCAGGCAGAGGCTATCAGCAAAGTCAACTTTTTTTCCAAACCTCCTTCTAATTCTTCAGATATAACAGTGTAAGAGCAAATCAAATACAAATTAATATTTCCCACTGATCAGAAGAAATAATATAAAACTGGGAACTATCCTAAAACTGAATACTTAAAAGTTCTTCTAGAGCTGGGAGCTCACACCTGTAATCCTAGCTATTCAGGAGAATGAAATCTGAAGGTTTGGTTCAAAGCCAGCCCAGGCAGCAAAATCTAGAGACTCTTATCTCCAATTAACCACCAGAAAACTAGAAGTGGAGCTGTTGCTAGCCTTGAGCAAAAAAGCTCAGGAACAGCACCTAGGCCCTGAGTTCAACCTCACTACCTTTAAAAAAAAAAAAAGAAGAAGAAGAAGAAGAAAAAAAAAAAAGAAACAAAGTTCTTCTTCTAAATTAGTTCTTAAATCATTCTAGGAGTAAAAACATGACAAAATACTTACCACATTCAATAATGCTTCTAAAGCGCAAATCACACACAGGTCCAATGCCATGCACCATAAACACCAAATGGTCAACCTGAGGCATTTCCCCTATTTGAAAAATTTGAAAAACTGAGAATTTGTTTAACAGGAAAATCTATCAAATACCGCTTTATTATTACAAACTGGCCAAAGAAATGGATGACCCTTCCAAGCAAGTAAGCTTCTTTATCTTCTGCCAAATTACTTCGTCCACCTTGGCACCTTGGCACATGACGGGCAGATGAGATGGGTGGAGAAGCAAGCTCTCTGCACACAAAACCAGCATGTGGTTTGTACTTCTGTGCCTACAGATCTCCATCCCCTTGAGATCTTTTCAGAACTCCTTAGCACAGTGATTGGGGGCTTAGCATGGACAAGGGCAGGGCCTTGGGTTCAATTACTCAACACCAAACACCCAAGAGTAGAAAAGGGGTGACACCGTCCAAAAAGGAATGTACGCTTCATCTGTCTTATGTAATTGTAATCCCTTTGAACATCACCTTTATAATAAAAATAAATAAATTTTAAAGAGGAGAAAACAAAATCTAAGCTCCACATGGAAAAAGCAATCTTTCAACATAAAACTTTACAAATATTTTCCCAAAACCCTTCCTCTTGATTCACAAATATTATTAAGAACATCTCCAAGTTAAATCTATTATTTCTCAGGTTTAATAACATCTACTTACTTTGTAAGGTTTTTCATTCTTAAATTATCTTTAGCTATACAAAAGAATTGATATTTAACAAAGCAGTTTATGAATATAATGCATCTTGATCAATGTCACCCCTTTTAACACTCTCACTCATCCCTCTCTACCTACCCCTTACTTCATCATTTTTAGCAGATAATGAAACAAACATTTACCTATAAACGGCAAAATAGAGCCCATCCTTATATGGTATAACAGGGGAAAACAAAGTACATGCACTAGAGCACAGTTTGGTTACATCCTGCCTGCTGCCTATTTTAGAAATGAAAGTTTCCCTAGAAGATGGCTATCCACATTTGTCTCCATATAGTCTATAACTACTTTCACACTACAGTGGCAAAACTAGTAGTATCAGCAGAGTCCGCGTGGCCTACAAAGCCTTAAACACTCACTGTCTGGCTCTTTTATAGTAAGTTTGCCACCCCACTCAACAAGTAAAGCACAAAAACAACCCCAAAATCTTAGTACCACCCCATGATGTACTTCATCATAATAATACATAGTTGGCTATCTACATTATGTGGTTTGCGTACCTTAATCAGAATTCCAAATAAAAAAATAGAAGAACATAAGGAGGGGGCAAAGAAACTGAAGGACAAAAAGTGAACAGACGCAGCAGTGGTACTCACTAGACACTAAGTTGAAAAGGAACTAAAGGAACTATATAACTTGTGGGTAGAGACAGAAGGGATAGACAGAGAGAACAAGGGAAGGGGTGACACTGGCTAAAAGGAAATGTACTCATTACCTGACTTACATAGTATAATCCCCTGTATATCACCTTTATAACAATAATAAACGATAATAGTAACAGGATGCTGGGCACCAGTAGCTCACGCCTATAATCCTAACTACTCAGGAGGCTGAGATCTGTGGATCATGGTTCAAAGCCAGCCTGGGCAGAAAAAAATCCATGAGACTATTATCTCCTATTCCCAGCAAAATGCCAGAATGGTAAAGCTTCTGTGTTAAAGTGCTAAGCAAAAAAAAAAGTAAGAGCACGAGATCTTGAATTCAAGCCCAGTACCAACACACACACAAACACACAGACACAGACACACGCACACACGAAGTTATATATACACATATACATATTATTGAGGAGAAGAAAGTAATAAAAATCAAAAGAACAAATATGCCCAAATACTGAAGGAAAATAAAATACAGTTGTGCCAAAATGGCTGACTTCCAAGTGTTATAGTAGGATGTCCTAAAAATGTTTCTTTTTTCATCATTCTAAAGAATAATGCTAAAATAAAGAAGACTTTGAAAAAGACTTGACACCTAAACAAACTATGCATACCATCAGGAATCTCATCCAGACTGTCATCAATCCCTCGCTTTACAACCCTGGGCCTGGTCTGTCCATCCTGGGTAGTTCCCCACTCATCAGGCACTGAGGAAGGCTGGAACTGCACAATAACCTTTGGGACATAAAAGAATTATTACAGAGCTCATTTTCAAACTCTTTCCCATGATAGGTAAGTAAGGTATTTTTAACAGAGTAAACTATGATTAAGTATGAAAAGCTGATAAATCAAGTAGCAGTACTATGCTCACAAACAAATTTTGTTGAGACTCCTGCTAATGTTAACCACCAAAATCAAATAAATCCAATGCTCATGACAGAAAATTACACAACTAAATAAAAAACCCTGGCTTCCATTATCAGCACTACACATATATAAAATAACAAAAGTACACCTTGAAGATTTTTTTGTCAGTTGTGGGGCTTGAACTCAGGGCCTACGCACTGTCACTGAGCATTTTACTCAAAGCTAGTGCTCTATCACTTTATGCCACAGCCCCACTCCTCATTTTCTTTCTTTTTTTTTTTTTTGGTGGGTCGTGGGACTTGAACTCTGGGCTTGGGCACTGTCCCTCAGCTCTTCTAAGTCAAGCGCTCAACCACTGGAGCCAGAGCACCACTTCCAGTTTTCTGGTGGTTTTGAACCTTGATCCTCAGATCTCAGCCTCCTAAATAGATAGGATTAAAGACAGGAGCTACTGGTGCCCAATTTACCTTGAAGATGTTTTCATTCTAATGGCCAACTTATCTTTAGTTAAGAAATCTAGCTTATAAAAACACATTAGGCAAAATTCTTTAAATGGCAAAGCTCCCAAGTAACTGACAAATTTAACTGCAGTGACAAAAACTGAATGACAAAAAAAAAAAAAGCTCCAAGAAGAAATCTACTCATTAAATCAACTTAATTAAATTCAGCTCTGTGCCATACAGAGATTTTTTTTTTCTCTAAAAACAAAACAAACCAATGTGGTAGGGCATGATGGTACATGCCTGTGATCCCAGCTACTGAGGAGGTTGATCATATTCCTGAGGCCAGCCCAGGTAACCTTAGCACAAGATCTTGTCTAAAAAACACCCTAAGAGTAAAAGGACTGGAGTAAAGATGAAGTTGTACTTGCCTAGCAAGTACAAGTGCACCAGCTTTGAGTGAGAAAGCTAAAGGACAGCTCCTAGGTCCTGAATTCAAGACTCAGTTCTCTTTCTCCCCCTCCCTCAGCTCCCAGGTCCTGAATTCAAGTCCAAGTTCTCTCTCTTTCTCCCCCCCCCAACCCCTACCACATACACACACACACACACACACACACACACACACACACACACACACACACACACACACACACACACACACA